CGCTCCGGTGAAGCACGAGAGCGCTTCAGCGCTGGCTTTCTAGCAGGTAGAAGGCACAAATGACAAGCTACTTCTAAATATCCTGATTGAGCCTTTCAGAAGTCATCCCTGACCTTGACTTACCTGGATAGATGTGGATAAGGAGTAATGAATATGCATTGAAATCCCTGATAGCTTTGCAGCAGTGGTGAAAAGAAATGATGAATGGGGTCTTTGTGAAGCACTGGGAGCAAAACACTGGTTTGTGTTACATCCCTGATGCAAAGTTTCCCGGAGGCTTTTGTGATTTAGCTGGGTTTGGGCTCAGGTTCCTGACAAAAAGGTGCACGCTGGATGCCCTGGTGTTTTGGGAGGTGCTTCCCAGGTCTGTAAACAGCTGCTTTTTCACTATCCAAGGGGAACCTGGATCTTTCCTTTGGCAGCAAACCGAAGTGGGGAGAGATTCCTCAAATGCACGCATTTAACTCCTGCAGCACCCTTTGGAGGTGGCATGTGTGCACCCACGCAGCGCCAGCTCTGGGACCATCTCAGCTGTCTGGAGCCAAAGGGACGTCAACAGTCCCCGTCCATGTCCCTGTTCTCTCGGGAGTGTTATTACTTTAATGGCCCCAAATCCTCTTGGCTCCGCTCTTTGAGATCCTGTGTCTGCTGGCAGGGAGGGAAAGGAGGAGTTTCTTTTCTCTATTCAGGTATTATTCCTTTTCCCCTCCCTTTATTTGATATGTGGTTGGTTTTTTGTGCAAAAAAAAAAAACCCAACTTGCACCCATCGGTTGGTTGAGGCCGTCAGACTGTTAGAGAGGAAAAAAATATTTTTTTCTGGATGCGTTGCACAGCCGCCTTGGTACCCCAGAGCGCAAAATCAGCGCTTGCTGCTGCAATCAGTGGGAGCTGGCCCGGGCTTTTGAAACACGGCACCGGGGATGTGGGTCACACAAAAGGGGGCAAGCGTGAGGGCAGCTCCAGCCTGAGGAATGTGGAATATTTAAAGAAAAAAAAAAAAAAATCTGGTTTAGATAGTTTTCTCTGCTGAGTCTGCTGCGGTGAGACAGCCGGGCAGGTGATGGGTGGCCTTTCGCTGCCCTTCTGTGCACCCGTGCTGCAACTCTTCCTTGTGGCCTTAATTCAGTTTCTTTAGCTGTTGGATTTTTTTTTTTTTTTTAATTAGAAGGGGAGGGAAATCCCCTATGCTTTGCACCTTCTCTGGATACCTCTCTGTTCGTTAGCCCTTCCCAAATCTCCGCTGAGAAAAGTCTACCCCAGGCCATCACCCCGTGCCCATCCCGGGAGCCCCTGGCATCCCCGCATCCCTCCGCGGCCGTCGCCTGGTCCCACCTGCGGGCAGCTGGGATGGGCAGGCAGAGCTCTCCGCCCAGAGCGTAATTAAGCTGCGTTTTTACGGCTCTGCCACCAGCCACTCACTCCCTGCATTCCTTTCCTGTGAGGTCTCCGGCCTCACCGGGAGGATGGAAGGGTGGGTGAGAAATCCCCCGAGGGTCTCGCCTACTGGGGCCGGCCTCTGCCGTCGCCCGCAGGGCTCTTGGCGTGTCACGCCGGGCAGCATGAATAGGCGGCTGGCTAATCCAAATTCCATTAGGCATCGTTAAGATCTTCCTTTCCTGTATTTAAAGCGCTTGGCTTTGTGCCTTGGCCTTTTGTGTGTGCAGCACCATGTGAGAAGCGATTCTGCAGGGCAAAGCCTGGAGAGGAGCCGGGGTGGGACACGGGAGAGGGATGCTGCCCTGTTACGTGGTCCACGGGGCGTGCGGTCCAGATGGTCCAGACGCATCCCGTGGCGCTGGGACCAGGCTGTGGAGGGCTGAAAAAATTCCCAAACTGCATTCCCAGTCCTGCAACCTCTGCAATTTCCTCCAAACTGAACCAGGAATTTACTTTCTAAAGGATTCATGGGGGGAGAAGCGATTCACCTGGGCAGCCTGGCAGCTGATTTGTCTGCATTTTGGCCATGCCATTCGGGTGAATTGCAGAGGAGTTTCTCTTCACTTGCCAAGTCATCACTAAGTAATGCGTCTGGATTTATTGCCAGTTGTTTGACATGAACCCTCTTTACAACAACAAAAAAAAAAAACCCAGAGTAAAACAGGTTTATGAAGAAAAAGGGATAAGTCACTCATCTGCTTTTAAATGCTGGTGGTTCTGCAGTCCTCGGGCCCTGCAGTTTCTCAGAAAAAACAGTTAGTTTGTTGCAGCTGCATGTGTATCGGCCTAGAAAGCTAGCAGAAGTTTTTGGAAGGTGTTTTCTGTGGGTAAAGATCTCGGAGCAGACGTGGTATTTTAGCACAGCAGCCATATCTCAAGTGCACTGCTGCGGGGACTGGACCAAAGCCCTTGGCTAACTTCTAGGTTTTCACAGAATTGGCCAAATTGTGGGAATGGGAGGTTGTGTTCACCTCTTTTTTTTTTTTTTTTTTTTTTTTCCCCCCCAAGTGGGGAAACTGAGGCACAAATGTCCTGCAGGGAGCCTGGGGCAGCTGCTGGTTCCTTGCCCACTTTGCAGCCATCAGGATGTTCTCCTCTTGCCATGGCTGTCAGGCTGTGACTCCTGTCCCCCAGTTTGGGCAGCATCGGGGTGAATTTGTGTCCGTATGGCTCAGCTGGCGCAGTTGTGCCTCGCCTGTGAGCAGCCATAGAGCCATCCACCATGCCCCCCTGCTCTGACATGTGCTCATTCAACAGATCCCATTCAAAAATTAGTCAGTGAATTTGCCTGCCCAAGTTTTTGATTGTCCAGGCTCATGAGGGATGCACAGAAGATACTGCAGAGATGATGGTGCACGGGGAGCAGAGGCTTTGGGTTTCCTCTAGCTGCTGAAGGACTTGGAGGAAGGTTGGGTCAAGAGCAAGTGCTTTGTAGGGTTGGTACAAGATGAGCTGGAGGATTAATGGCTGCTCATGTTGTGCTTTCTCCTCCTCCTCATAGCCTGTGGGCCGCAGCTTGCCAATTCCCCCACTGTGATAGTGATGGTTGGCCTCCCAGCCCGTGGGAAGACCTATACCTCCAAGAAGCTAACTCGCTACCTCAACTGGATCGGTGTCCCAACAAAAGGTGAGGCTTTCACGGGCTGCCTAGGCAAAGCATGAGGTTTGGGTCCTTGGGAGATGTTCAAGGAGCTTAGTCCCTTGGGGAGTGGAGGGTGGTGGGGGATCTTTCCAAGATCCCATGGGCCAAATACCCATGTTGTCCCATAGCTTCTGCTGCAGCCCAGGTTCTCCTTCACTTTAAAGACCAAGGGATGTCCCTGAGGCTTTTGCTCTAAGGATGTCTCTTCTTAGCCTATTGCTAGAAGGCGTTATCTGCAGGAGCTGCACAGCTGAGTCAAGCTGTGCTGACGCCTGCTCCTGGTTTTGATGGTCTTTGCCTTTCCCACACAGTTTTCAACGTGGGGGAGTATCGCCGCGAGGCAGTGAAGCATTACAGCTCCTATGACTTCTTCCGCCCCGACAATGAGGAGGCCATGAAAGTCAGGAGGTAAGTGTGGGCACTGCATCTGTGCTCATACCCAGCTCCAAATGGGTGGTGAAGCCCACGGCTGGCAGCGGGGTTGCCCGGCTTGTTTTAGGAGGTGACAGACAGAAAAGCTGGGCTCTAGCTTGAGATCTCCTTGCCTGCATAAGGAGAGCCTGACTTGGGCACCACGAGCTGAAGACTGAAGCTGTTGGGGCTTGGTAGCTTCAGGGTCACCAATGCATCTTCCATCAGTGGTACCCTGAATTCACCTTCAGGCTCAGCGACGTAGGGTATGAGGTCTGCCATGAGGTTTGGCCTTTGCTTCTTCATTTACCATTGCCTCTGCTGTGAAGATCAGCACGCTGCTCAGCACCTGTGGCTCTTGTATTTTTGGCAGACTGAAGGTGTCTTTCCTAAATGTCCCTGGGAGGGGGGGAGGTGGTGAGGAGGAGCCGCAAAGCCTGCCTTTGTGGAGGTCTGTGTACTAGCTGCTGCAAGCATCTCTGAGGACTTCAGGACCACATGTCTCTTGCCTCTTTTGCAGGCAATGTGCCCTGGCTGCCTTGAGGGATGTCAAGCTGTACCTGGCGGAGGAGGCTGGCCAGATTGCGGTAAGCTCAGAGATGTGCTCCGTGGCGTTTGCCAGTGGTCCTGGTCCCGAAGGCGCTGTGCCCTGTACAGTTTACTCTGCAGTTCCTTCTCTGAGAAATGGCTCGGTGGGAACGAGATGCTCTTGGTGCTAATCAAAGTCTTTGCTTTTAAAGGTTTTTGATGCCACCAATACCACACGGGAGAGGAGAGGGATGATCCTAAACTTTGCCAAAGAAAATGGGTTCAAGGTAGGTACCATCAGACTGCTGCCTCTATTGCATAGTCCACGCTAGTGTACTGTTGGTGTATCTTCTTTCACTACCATGTCCTCACGATGCTCCTGTGTAAGAGAGATTTCACTAATGAGTTTCACGTTTTTGATTAAACCCTTCCCTCATTCCCAGTAGCAAAGCCCTGGAGAAGGAAAAGATAGGAGTGGGGCAGAGGGAGAGCTCTCTGGTCAAGCAGGGAGGTGGTTGTGTTGAACAAGGGGCTGGTTGAATGTTACAAACCTTATTGGTGGCTTTCAGTTGAGCTTTGCTTTGCTTCACAGGTGTTCTTCATTGAATCCGTCTGCAATGATCCCACAATAGTTGCCACCAATGTTATGGTAAGTGTGGAAGTGTCTTGCTTTTGTTTTCCCTTGTGTAGGATTTCCCACCTGTGTCTGGCTGGTTTCTTATCTGAACATCTTGCCAGAGTTGGTTGAGGATTAGGAGGTTTTTATCTTTTTATGATCTGTTTGTCCTGGGATGAGAAAGGATCTTTTGTCTCCCAGGGCCACCTGGAAGTAATGAAAGTAAAAGGTGGTGTTGTAGCCTTTCCCCAATTCCCTTCCATGCTCTCTGCATTTCTGTTGATGTCTAACGATATCAAGGAGAGAAATCTATTCAGGATGCTCTGCCGACATCCACTCCCTCCCCTCCCACCCCCCGCCAAAGTCCCACTTTTTGGAAGCGATGGATGTGGTTAAGAGTTTAAATCCCATTGGAGAGCACTGACAGTCTTGGTTCACATGCAGCTTCCCAGAATCTATTGGGGTCTGCTTTGAGAAGAATCGCAGATGAGCTTAGAGGTTTCTCACCACCAGCTGAAGTCTTGGCTGGGAGAGCAGCATAAAACATTGCTTCTCGACTCCTTTGGGAGCTGCTGGATCTTTGATTTCCCACCAGCAGAAAAGCTCCTTTGCCTGTTAGGCTTGGCTAGGGCAGGTAGATGTTACCTGGTCTACCTAGGCATGATTAACTTGAATGAAAGTGTCCTTTCCTCCACTTGGGCTCTGCTCCAGCCTTATCTCCAGTTGTACATCTGAACTTTGTGAGACATTTTATGTTGTCTGGGAATGCGTTGCAGGATACCAAAAGTCTGTGAGAAGGGTTTTGTTCTGCCCCCAGGATGGGTTCCACAAAGGGTGCTGTGCTGGGTGCTAGAGCATGGCTTTTGCTCCTGCTGGGAGCTGGTGTCCCATGGCCAGCGATCAGCTTTTTGGGAGGTTGCACACAGCCTTTTCCATGATACTAATAAAATTCTCCCTTTGCTCTATCTTTTTTTTTTTTCT